TATAAATGGTTTGAAGAATACTATAAATGAACAATTTAGACTTATAATTTTATCTGGAGATATTTTAAATTTTAAATATAATGCAGAACAGCTATAGAAAAATATATAGTGATAAAAACTGATTATTTCATAGATACGCAATGTAATGTAATAGATACAATAAGAAGATACTTGTAACCCCCAAATTTATGTTTTGTGTGTGTGTTTATATGTTTTCTTTTTTTGTGTGTTTGCTTGTGTTTGTTTTGTCTTATAGTGAAAATAAAAAGCTTTGAGACTGTCAAAATGAAAAAAAAGAAAGTGCATTATTTAGTGTATGTGAAAGTGTGTATGGTTAGAGAAAAGCATTACCTTCACTTTTACCCTTTCCTCCCTACCCCTCCTTGCTACTCAGATTATACTTATATTATACTCTGGGACTCTTTGGCCCCGGTCACACGAGAGGATTAGGGCCGGGAGAGGGATGGATCGGGGGCGGAGCAAACGGGCGCGATCCCACCGCAACATCTGGGAAGCGTTGCGTGCCCGTCCCCAATCCGGCCCTTCCGGCGATAATCCGCACCAAAAAAGAACCACCTACTGAGGTGGTTCTTTCTGAACGGCCGCATCAAAGCCGGCCGTGGGATCGCCGGCGCGTTCTTCCGCCGGCGCATCCCCGGGTCCTGGCTGAACTGCGCATGCTCAGACATGTGCAGTTCGGGAGCCTCCCATGGCTTCCTCCCCGGTCTCCCCGGCATCTGATCGTGCCGGGGAGCAATTGCACGGCGGCTCACGGGATCTGTATGATCCCGCCGCCGCGTGCCTATTTTGGTGCGGCTTTGCCCGTTCTTTTTGTCCCCCGTGTGGCAGGGACCTTTGTTTCAAGAACCAGCTGCGCTGTGTTAGGACTCCAGAAAAGACAGAATCAGCTTTCTTGTTTTTTGTACTTTTTACTGCCATTGAACTGTATGCGTTGTTTTTATACTTTTCTTTGAATTTCTTCAATAAGGCCTTCTTTTGCTTTATGGTGTGTGTTACTCGGGGAGTTACTGAGTTACCCAAACCCAGGTACAACTTAGTTATGTCACTGCACCAATGCAGGGTCAGCTTTCATACCCCGGGTGTAGGGAGTTGCCTGGGAATGACGGCTCAGCTCTCAGAGGCTGCGATCACACATACGCCCTAAATAATCCACTTTCAATGCACTTTCCAACTGGATTTTGCCAGTTCACACAGGTCCATTCCGAATTTGCCTGCCACTCCGGATCCAAGTCGGTTCGAGTGCTTTTCACTTTGGAGGAAGCTTTGAGCTCACTAAGAGAGACTTTTTGCAGAGTTCACTGAAAAATCTGGATAAATATTTTGGTATTTGGCAACCTTGTGCTTGGAAATATCTTTTGAACTCCCCGAGGAAGACACTGAAACAGGAGGATATCTGGACCTCTGTTGGAGGAAGACTGAGCACTTATTCAAAACAGACTTAAAGGAGTCCTCCCTCTAAAAACTTTTGCATAATTAAGGAGGACTGATATTAATAAAGGGGTTGTGCAATATCTTTTGTGATATATTAAGAGACGATACTTAGATGTTTTGATATATAATTCTTTCTATGTATTAAGGCTTACATGATAAATAATATATGGTGAATACATTGTAAAAATATAAAACAAAAAATATATATTAAAATTATTTGAGATATTTTATAATCGTCTGTAGCATGGTATTTGCTGATTTTTGGTATTTCCAAATAACCCGTGGTAATGGCAGGCTGAAACTGGGCTGACCACTGAAGGGAGGGAATGTAACGCAGAATGGGGGAGGGGGGGGGAAACAGAATAAAAAGAAGGTTGAACTCGATTTTAGTGCCGAATGGCTTGGAGGACACCATGATGAACACGGATTAAAAAGAGAGTGAAGAAAGGGCCACAGGAAAATCCAGTTGGGAAGTGCATTGAAAAGTGCACTGAAAGTGGATGGACAGCAGATTATTTAGCGTGTGTGACCACAGCCAGAATCTTGTTTGAGACACAGAAGGGCAACCAACACTGACTTCTGCAGTTCCATACGGTAGGGGTCCCCCATCTTTTTGAGCCTGTGGGCATCTTTGGAATCCTGACACCGTTTGGTGAGTGCGGCCACAAAACGGCTGCTGAAGGAGGTCGAGTCTACACAATATGGCTGCCACAGCTGACCTTCAGTCACACAGTGAAGATCCCCGTGGTGTGACGACAGCTGCCGCCAAAGCAACGACTTTAAAAATCTGCACAGCCAATCAAATCTCCAGTGGCCAATCAGAAGCCTTGCTGGGCAACACCCCCAGGTGGTCATGTCCACTTTCTAAGACCACTGGATGAGCACGAGGAAAGGTTTTGGCGGGCACCATGCTGGGGACTCCTGGCCTAATCTTTACACTGTGCAGATCCCACATAGCTTAGTCATTCTTACTTAAAGGTTGGGTTTAAGTGAAAATGGCAGTGTGAGTTTTGGGCAATGCTCAGCAAAGATTCACAGTGGATCGCTTACACCCAGGGGTCATTTCGTAGAAAAAGAGGTGCAGGAGCTCATTAGCATAACTTATTTGCATATGCCACACCCCCTGACATCACCGGAAGTGTGTCAGAAGGCAACACCCACCGCTCAGGCTCCACTGGACTGTTTTGGATTGCTAGCTATTGGGGAGGGAGGGGGAATGTGCAGATCTGTCCTCGCAGAGGAGGGAGAGCTTGTACCTGAATAAAACTTGGTCTTAAAGGTGCCACTGGACTGTTTTGGACCAGGGGGCCTGGGGGGGGGAGCTCTGCAACTTACCTGGCTCTGACTGAGGGCTGCTGGGAGCAGGGGGTGGGGCTCTGACTGAGGGCTGCTGGGAGCAGGGGGTGGGGCTTGTTGCATGTGCCCGTCCCCTGGGCTCTTTACTGCCGGAGCTCCGTTCCCGTGTGCTCCTGCAGGAAATGAACCCTGCTTATACCTTGGGTAGATCCAAGCTCCATGGGGCTATTGGGCCAGATAACCCTTGAGGCCCTCCTAGTCCTTTAATTCTACGAAAGCAGGCACTCTTTACCAAGGTTTTTTCTCCCCTGATCGGTATGAAAACAGACAAATATCTTTTGCAAGATGGGGGAAAATAGAAGACACATCTGTAGCTACAGAGGGAGCTTTATGAGTCTGAGTTGGAGGCCAAAGCTAAGACAGACGAGACAATCAGCTATAGTTTTGGAAAGCTTTCTGCAGGATCCAAAACGCTCAGCGCTCGCCAGCGCAAAAAGTGAAAGCCCCACCCTGCCCTTATTTAAGCAAACGAGATGCTAACGACTTTGCTGCTCAATTCGGAGGAAGCCGTCGTATTGGGAAGCATCTCAGGGGGGCTGCGATCGTCTTTGGTTGCCAAGTGGAGGCCTGAAACAGACCTTAGCTACACAAACACTCATTTATCCAAGAAACATACTTACAGTAATGCATTTGGAGAAATGCCCTGGATTTTTTTTTTTTTAAAGGCCAAACTCCTTTTAAAAAGAGAGAGAGATCCTTATTATCTCAATCTGGGAACAAGGCAGGAGAAATCCAAACACCCGTACGAAATCAATTTCGAGCAATTGTGTAGCCACATATTAGATATATATATGTATGGGAGCATTTGTGCGTTTAATTGGTTTCAAATGGAGGTCCTGATACTTTCACCCAGGTGGGTATGCATTTTGTCAGGCTGTGTTCCCACCATAGTTTAGATCAGAGGTTTTCAGACTAAACCCTGGGAGATCCTAGGGAGTCTTGGAAATTTATCAGAGATTCCTCAATTAGAAGGGGAGAAAGGGTGGGTGACACCCCCCCCCCAAGAAAGCCAGGTTGTTCTGTGCCCCGCAACGAGTAGCTGCTGGAAGCTGTTTAGAGTGTCTAAGGCACACCCTTGCTGGATGGTGGTGAGCTCAGGGCCCTGATTGAATGGAAAGCGCTTTCTAAAGTAAAAAAAAAATCAAAACCTTCCGATCCGGGGCCCACATTGATCACTGACTCGAGACCCATTTTTAATTTTTCTTCCTTGTATGTCAACTTCTCTCCATGGTATTGCTCAATCTCTCTCTCTCTCTCTCTCTCTCTCTCTTTTTGCCCCCCTTTCTTACTTTCTTAAAAGCCTTTAAAAAGAAGATAAAATAATGATGGCTGGTACTTTCATGTGACTCAGCTGGGTTACACCTGGACCCACCACTTGGTCCAGAGTTCTAGAACAAGGCCCTAAATCCTGTGCTGTCTTCTGGATTTCGGTGACAGATTTTCAGGGACTCTTTGGCAAGCAAACTTCCCACAATCAGAAAATACACCTTTACACATTTATCTGCTATTTCGGCATGTTTATCACTTTACAACTGTTGACCGTATAACCTTAGCTTGTTATTTAGTTTTGTATTTGCACATCTTCGTCATGTTACATGTTAATTTGCTGTTCAGACCCTGTCTACAAGTTTGAACCTTACCTACCATTCCAGTGTATTTAAAAAAGCATGCATGCACACGAAAGTTCATACCTTGAATAAAACTTTGTTGGTCTTAAAGGTGCCACCGGACTCTAAATTTGTTCTACTGCTTCAGACCAACACAGCTGACCACCTGGATGTATCGATTTGAAAAAAGATCCTCTTGAAGGCAGACAGTACAAAAATGGCTGTGTTCCACCATAGTTTATAAGGCAGTGAGTTCAATAAACGTTTATAGTTCAGTTTCAGATCCACATTTTTATCTGTTCGTATCCCAAAGAGAGTTCATGGCATTTTATCATGACAGACAGGTCTGGCTAGGGGAGTACAGTTTCGCACAGACAGTTTCGGGGCCAATCAGGAGATCTGAAACCAGGTGTTCCCAGTCCAAAGCCAACCCTGAGTTCGTAGCACAACCTTAATTTTCAGTGATCAAACTCTCTTTGGGTCTCAAAAGCTAGTCATGCCAGAAACCAGATAATGAAGCCTGCCATCACACTGGGATTTTCAAAAAATCACCAAAGAAAGACAATCAAAATATTGCAAAATTACCATCAAGTGGAGTGGTATTTTAGTGGGTCCTTTGGCTGAGATTTTCTCCCACAGACCTCTTCGCACATACCGGACAGTAGTTCCTGCGATCTGAAACTCCCCAGGAAGTTCAATTTTCCAGTCACTATTAATGGACTTCTTACTGGAATCTTTCAAAGCTGGAAAAAAAAAAATCAACACAGCATGGGAAACAGGATCACACGCAGAATTAGCCGCGCGATAGGCACAAATGTCGGGTGGATTTTAAGGGCGTGATCACACGGGAACATCTGGCAAGCGTCCCGTACCCGTCGGCAACCTGTTTCGCTCCGCCGAAGAAGCAGAGTAAAAAGACACTGGGGAAAGTCCAGTAGCAAATCGGTTGCTACGGGCCACAGACGGACGTTCCCGTGTGATTGCTCCAGCGCGCTCTCATGGCATCGGGATGGTCTGATCAGGCCATCCCGTCTCCGTGCCATTGTTTTTTCCCCCTTCTCAGTATGCGCATCATCGCATACTGCCGTAGGAAGTCTTCAGCGTGGAGATGCGATTCACTGATCCTCCGTTTAAGTGAAGCGAAAACAAACAGCAAAAAAACCCCCAACTCACCCGCGATTGCGTCTGATCATGCAGCGGCGGGCTATGCCCGCAGCTTCAAAGACCTGTGTGATCTGTATTTTTGGTGCTGGGGGGGGTCAATAGTGTGAGGTCTCCTAGTGTCCTGGCCTCACTGCTGGACCTCCTGATATCACCTGGTATTTTTGGCCACTGTGTGACAGAGTGTTGGACTGGATGGCCTGTTGGCCTGATCCAACATTGGCTTCTCTTATGTTCTTATGATCGCGCAACTGCGGGTCAATTTCCTCTGGGGTAAATAGCCTCGCTTCCCCTACGCGTTATCTCACGTGTGTGACCGCAATCTAAGGTTGGCAAATGCCCCTTTTTGGAAGCAGACACCATGTGCAAAGGTCTCCTGGCCTCCCTCTACCATTTTCTTTATTAGCTTTATTTATATCCCCCCCCCATTATCCCCAATGGGGACTCAAATGTATCCTACATCATTCTCTCTGTAATCATTTAGAATCATCCCCCCGTTCAGAAGCTGCTAGAGACAATATCTATCCTAACCCATCTATCCTATCCATTTGCAATCCTAAACAGGCAGATCATGAGAGGGAGGGCAGGAAGGGTTGCATCAGTGCTTAGTTCTCATGGCCCTTTCTTACATGCCCAGGGGAATGCTGATCGCCACATTGGGGTCAGGAAGCAATTTTTCTCCAGGCCAGTTTTGGCCCAGGATCCTGGAGGGTTTGTTGCCATCTTCTGGGCATGGGGTGTGTGTGTGTGGGGGAGGTCTTTGTGAATTTCCTGCATTGTGCATGGGGTTGGACTAGATGACCCTGGAAGTCCCTTCCAACTTTATTGATTCTATGATCCCTTCTACGCCATTCACTTTCATGTGTGTGTGTTAAGTCCTGACAAGCTGCAGCCAACTTATGATGGCCCCGTAGGGTTTTCAAAGCAAGAGACGTTGAAGAAGAGAAGAAGAAGAGAAGAGATTGGATTTATACCCCGCCCTTCACTACCCAAAGGTGTCTCAGAGCGGCTTACAAACTCCTTTCCCTCCCCCTCCCCACAGCAGACACCCTGTGAGGTAAAAGAAGAAGAAGGGATTGGATTTATACCCCGCCCTTCACTACCCAAAGGTGTCTCAGAGCGGCTCACAATATCCTTTCCCTTCCCCTCCCCACAACAGACACCCTGTGAGGTAAAAGAAGAAGAGATTGGATTTATACCCCACCCTTCACTACCCAAAGGTGTCTTAGAGCGGCTCACAATCTCCTTTCCCTTCCCCTCCCCACAACAGACACCCTGTGAGGTAAAAGAAGAAGAAGAGATTGGATTTATACCCCGCCCTTCACTACCCAAAGGTGTCTCAGAGCGGCTCACAATCTCCTTTCCCTTCCCCTTCCCACAACAGACACCCTGTGAGGTAGGTGGGGCTCAGAGAGCTCTTGACAGAAACTGCTCTTTTTCAAGAACAGCTGTGCACAGAACTATGCCTTGCCCAAGGTCATCCAGCCAGGTGCGAGTGGAGGAGTGGGGAATCAAACCCGGTTCTCTCAAATTAGAGTCCGCGCACTTAACCACGACACCAAACCGGTGGTGGTTTCCCATTGCCTGCCTCTGCATAGCAATAAAGGGTAGAATTCAGCTTAGCACAGTAAATCTTTCAGCACAGTAAATCTTTCTCATTGATGTGCTGATTTAGTACAGACAGGGATAGTTTGTTTTGTATCAGGTAACATCCAAAAGTATTATCACAGCCCCAACTGCATTCTAAACTGGTAGTCAATCACGTCATTCTGAGTCTGGCCTGGAGTGGCTCAGAAGTGCACCTGTGGACTTTTAAACTTACCTGTGGCTGCAGTCACACACGCTAAACAGCCCACTTTCAATGAACTTTCCACCTGGATTCACACAGTAAAATGCAGTTGGAAAGTGCACTGAAAGTGGTTTGAAAGTGGATTACTTAGGCTGAATCTGCATTTGTCTTTCCCACCGGTGTCCCAGCCTTTTGACTCAGTCTTCAAAAAAGCTGTCTACATTTGGTGTCGTTTTCACACCTCAGGAGTGCTAGCATACTTTTGCACGTCAACATGGGTTTATCGTCCTTTCGGGGCGGCTCCACTGTCATTGGACCTCTGCACTGCTTTAAAAGAATCTTCTCCAAACAACATTCAAACAAGAAAGACGGCGTCAAAGCAGCATGAACCTAATTTAGAAATGCAAATGCACTTTCGACCCTAGTGTGTGTTACCGCAGCCCAGGGGTCATTTAGTAGAAAAAGAGGTGCAGGAGCTCATTAGCATAACTTATTTGCATATGCCACACCCCCTGACATCACCGGAAGTCTGTCAGAAGGCAACACCCACCGCTCAGGCTCCACTGGACTGTTTTGGATTGCTAGCTATTTGGGGGGGGGGATGTGTAGATCTGTCCTCGCAGAGGAGGGAGAGCTTGTACCTGAATAAAACTTGGTCTTAAAGGTGCCACTGGACTGTTTTGTACCGGGGGCAGGAGAGGGCTCTGCAACTTACCTGGCTGCTTCTTGCTCTGACTGAGGGCTGCTGGGAGCAGGGGGTGGGGCTTGTTGCATGTGCCCGCCCCCTGGGCTCTTTACTACCTGAGCTCCGCTCCTGCAGGAAATGACCCTTGCCGCAGCCTATGAAAACTCTTATATCCCACCTTTTCCCTTTGAGCTCAAAGCAGCTTACAAATAATTCCGCTAAAACCACAAACACAAGACTTCCGGTCTGCGGCTCAGCGATGGCGGATGCTCTCCCCTGAAGCTGGGGAGGCAATCCGTGCTCCAGGGGTGTTGGAGGAGTGCCACCTCAAGTGGCACCCCCAGGTGAGCCTTAGTTAAAGGCTCCGAGCTGGGGGCCCTGGGGGGGCGACCTCTTCGATGGTGGAAGCCGGAGAATTGAGGCGCTCCTTTTTGCCCCAATCGGTCCACCCCCTGTGAGGCTTGGTTTTTACCAAGCATAGCTGATGCCAGCCGGGACAAGCCAGAAGGTCAGCGAATGAGCGTAACTACAAGGGATCTGTGAGTAGACCGTCAATGAATTGGAGAAAAAACCGAGCGGAGAAAAGAAGAGTGTTAAAGTGTGCCAAAGACTTAGCTGTTTTGCGGATAAATTTGCGCTGTTTGAAAAAGGGCGAAAAGGTGTTCCTTAGTGTAAACAAAGTTGAAAATGGCCGGCACGAGAGGAAAAGCAGCGAGACAAGTTGGGCGGGGCGGTCAAAGTCCAAGGATTGAGGAAGGAGACGTGTTCTGCATGTTATCAGAGCTGTTCCGGCCCATTAACGAAAGACTCGATGGTATTAACCAACAAATGACTGCATCCAACCAGAGTTTGGCAAAACAACAACCGCAAATTGCCGAGCTGGTGAAAAAGTCGATCCAAACAGATGAAAAACTTAAAGAGACAATGCACGATACCAAAAAGGTGAAAAAGAAGGTTGGCCTGTTGGAACAAAGACAAGATCTTCAAGAAAGGAGATTGTTAAATCTACAAATGGAAAAAGCTAACAAGGTTCTCAGATTTCAGGGGGTGGCTGAAACGGCAGGAGAAAACTTGAAGAAAGTGATGGCAGAGCTAATCGCTTCGGCGCTCGGCAGCTCATCGGTAGAAGCGGAAGCAGAGATCGAGGTGGTTTATCGATTCTACTCTAAGTATATTAAGCAAAATAATCTACCGGGTGAGATTGTTGTCAAGTTTCTCCGAAGGCAGGTGAGAGATGATATTCTCAGAGCGACAGCAGTCAACCCCCTGCAGCTGGGAGCAACAACTATCAGGGTCCTAAAGGACACCCCATTTGAGATTCGACAGAAAAGAAAAGCCTACAAGGAACTTGTTTCAACCCTCCAGATCAACCAGATTTCGTATTCCTGGAATTTCCTCGAGGGTGTGGTGTTTAAATATAAAGACAAAAGGGAGAAAATTGACTCGGTTTTTAAAGCGGAAGAATGGTTGAAGCAGTTTCACGGATCGAAAAGGGAAGAACAGCCAGACGGAGGGGGCCAAGCAGACACTCTGGAAGAGATGGACGGAGACCCAGGAGGAGCAGAAGGTGACATGGCCAGAGATGCATATGATTTGCGGCTAAGGGGACCTAAGTGACTCTTTAGAAGTTAAAGACCCGCAACTGAAGAAGAAGATGAAAGAGACTTTGTGCTCACTAAAAAAAAAGAAGAAGAAGAAGATAGACTATTACTAACACGGACTCACTAACTCTTGAATTCATTGACTTAAACAAAAAGTTATTATTTTTATGACTAACTGGACACTAACTGTTAAAGACCTTCCTTTCTTGGGCTTTTAGTTATAGTATGGGTTGCTTTATTTGCTGTCTTGTACCCTGGGGTTTTTTATTTTTTCCCCCTCCCCTTTTCTATTTTCTGTAGTTGTGTAGGTGTAACAAAAATAAATAAAGCTACCCTGTTTTCAGGGGATTAAAAAAAAACAAAAAAACCCCACAAACACAAGACACATGATTTGTAAAAAAATTCAATAATTGCTCAGCAGTGGAATGGTTAGATTCGAATCCAGGAGCACCAACAAGAGTTTCAGGGTACAAACATTTGGGGGACAAAGCTCCCTTCTTTCCTTGA